CATAAAAAATTCTTTGTTTACAAACTGTAGCTTAGCCTTTTCTTTTTCTTTTCGACTTGCACTAGAGGTTCACCTTTTACAGAGAGTTTCGTCTTTCGCTATAGGTTTTGCCTTTCGCCAGAGGTTTCGCCTTTCGCCAGGGGTTTCACCTTTTGCCAGGGGGTTTCACCTTTTGCCAAGGGTTTCGTCTTTCATCAGAGTTTCGTTAGTTTCGCCATTTTTGGGTTTAGATTTCGTCTTTTGCCATTTTTGAGTTTAGGTTTCGCCTAACAACTATACATGCACATGATTGTAATTCTTTGATTTAGAATTGACAATCTATTATAGAAAAAAGATGATTGTAATTTATTTTTAATATTAATAAGATTAATGTTAAACTTGTGTAAAGAACTAAGAAAAATATTCTTTATAAATGCAAAAATGAGTAATTTAGGGGCACTTTGCAAAAAGATGTGAACATGTGATTTTTGTGATGATGATAGCGGAGAATCATTAAGATTATTCAAATTTAAGAATCTATAATATAATTACGTATATATCATATTATTGCGCTTTGCAAAAAGGTGTGACCCTGTGATTTTCATAGTAATGGTGTTGGGAAATCTCTGCGATCCATATAGAGAATTCGATTGTAGAATCTAATAAATTAATATTTCAAATTATGCTTTCAATCATAGTTTCGATCAATGTATACATAAAAAATACGTCATAATAAAAACAATTATATATTTTTTATTTTCTTTTTTGATATCTATTGTTTTATTTCTCTTTACATAAATATCTTTCGATACTCAATTACAATAGCTGACGTTCAAGAAACAAAGCTAAAATATTGCAGAGGAACCTGTTTTAGTTGTCGAAAATACCTATATTGTGGAATTGACTTGCAACAAAGAAAATGTAATTGCAACTTATCTGATGTACCAAATAGAGATAATTGGACTGCAGCTGTCAAAATTGCCTTTACGTAGGTATTTAATTCAACTTGGATGAAAGAGGATGTCGAATATATTTGTCAAAAAATAGCACTTTATAATTACTCACTATGTTCAAGAGAAAGTTTTAACTTTTCTTTGTGCTCTTGATGTAATAGCTCCTTATTAAGATTGTCTGTAAAGGTGAAAAGGCCTAAAATGATATCAAATTTAAATTCATCAAATTCCATAATTACAAATAATAATAACTTTTCAGAAACTGAAACATGTAATTTTACTATTCCAATGAGTGATCTTTCAGAAACTGAAGAAGCATATGAACAGAGATACAATGAAAGAGATTGTTATGAAATGGAAATAATAATAATCATATTGATAATGGGTCTTCATCTGATGAGGATATTGAATACAAATATAATTATGAAATTTTTATTAAGTTGGAAAATGGAATATCTCTTCTAGCAAAATGGCAGTAAATGAATTACTTTCTGAAATTCATATAAGTGTAAAACTTTAATGAGAAAAAAACCAATTGAACTAAGTGATTATTGTGTTGCATTCAAATTTGAAAAAGCTATAGGACCAGGTACTCAATTAGTAGATACTTAAGACTTGAAAAAATTTTAAGCTGATTATTACAAGTATGTTTCTAAAAAAATCAATATAGCTTTTTTTATCACATTTATTGGTTCAAATTTGAAATAAAAAATAAATGTTAGTAAAAAATAAAATATTATATTATATATATATATATTGGGATTTAATTTGTAATGCTATAGTACTATAGCACTAGGGCAATATATCTAATCAACATAAAAGATTAGGTGTAACGTAAAATTGATGTAATTTTTAAAAAACAGAAAATAACTTAAAATTTTGTATATAAAACTGCTTTTGGTATTCTAATTAAAAAAATTTCTTGCTAAATTTTGGTATAAAACCTTTTTATGCTATTGCCCTAACCCTAACTCTAACCGAACTATGACTCTGACTCTAAAATAATAAATAAATAGATTGTTTTGATTTTAGGTTACACCTGATCTTATGATTACATATAGAGTAGTGTCATAGTGCTATAGCACTATAAGAATATTCCTATATATATTGATTTAAATATTTTTATATATGTAATTTCACTAATGTTTATATATATTTAGGATCTTGAGTTTGATAATAATTTAGATACTGATATTATCTTAAACTCAAAAAATAAAAATAATATTTCTAAGGTTTCAAATTTAACTCAAACAGAATCATTAATAGCAAAAAATTTTCTAGAAATTTATAAGAAAATTATTGTACAATTCATAATTAGTCTTGTTTAAATAAAGATAGAGCAAAAAAAAATCATATTAAAATTATATTTATAATATTTTCAATTTAGGTATCTGAAATTGTAAGTAGATTTGTAAGTCTTATAGCAAATTATTATATAGTACATAAGCATAGCAGATATTTGATTTGATTAGTTAATAAATTTAAATAATATACATATTGTTATATAATTATTAGCTAACCAAATCATGAATTTTAAAAAAAAAATCAAAACTTTAACTAATCTTAAAATATATATTGTATGAAATTAATTAGATTTGTTTAAGTAAAATATCTATATTTATTTTATTTATTAATTTATAAAGAAAGTCTTATAGTTTAAATTATAACAAAACAGCATGTAGTTATATATATATATATAAATCTCTAAATCTTTAATTATATCTTTAAAAAAAATAAAATAAATATAATTAGACTATACAAATTTAATTATTTGGTTTTCATAACATGAAAATTTAAATCAGACCTGGCTAGCTAGCTTTTTTTTTTAAATTTTATATGTAAAAAAATTTAAAATACTATAAAATTTTTTTACAAAAATCTACCTGATTATTAAAACATATAAAAAATTTTTTTTGAAAGTTTTCAAACTTTGATCTAGCCAGATTATGAAAACTAATTTATTAATTTTATAAGGCTTTAGCTAATTGTTCTAGAATTTTTACAATATATAATAAATATTATTTCAATAAACTAAAATCTTAAGTTATATATTATACTTATATTATAGTACTATACCTTTCTAAATTATTACTTTTGACTTTATTTTATTTTTATTTTACTCAACAAACTGAATTTTAACTTGTATATACTTATTATTATACTTGTCTTATTAAAAGTTTTTTTCTAAGTAAAGTTTTTAATGATAGAGATTAATAAAGATTACCTTTGCTTAATAGATGTTTTGAGAGTAAAAAAAGCTTATAAAATATTTTAGTTAAACTTTACTTTGTAAAACTAAAAGTTACCAATTAACAAAATGACTTTTCATAATAAAGTTTACTTTAAAAATTTTTTTTATATTATGTGACTCAGAGTTTTATGAGCTAATAAAATTGAATATCCACTATGCTTTGTATATATTAAATTTTTAAATATTTAAAGCAAAGTAATAGTATTACTAACAGAACTACTTATATATCTATTATTTATATATAAATATTCTTCAAAAACAAAATCTAAATATTATTATTACTATTACAATAATTTGATTTATTACAATAATCTAATTTTATATAACAATTAACTTTTATTAGACAATTTTATATTCTATCTATTTCATCTTTATTTTATCATCTATTCTTATCATATTTTTCTTCACAACTTTATAAAGTACCTTTTCAAATATCTTTTCAGTCACTTTTTTAATTTATAGTTAAAACAATATTATCTAAAATTGATGATTTTTTAAAACATGTAGATGAAAATAAAGGTACTATAGATTATTATTAGAAATTTTTATTTGAATTTAAACAACAAAAATTTTTATATGATTATTTTCTAAACTATTAAATAAAAACTTTCAGAAATATAGAGTAGATACTATTAGTATATAAAAAACATTGCATAAATATGCTACAAAATATAATATATTTCTTATATAATTATATAATATATTAGCTAAAAAAATATTTACTTATAGGTCTAGTAATCTTAATATAGTAGTTAGATTATCAAACTGCTATACAAGAGGTCTAAGGTTCAAATTCTACTGTTAATAAATTTAAATAATTATCTAGATCTTTATACCTAACTTATAGTAAACTCTATTTGTTTCTGAAGTTATAACTCTATAAATTGAATTGTACTAAGTTGATTAAATATTAGAAGTATGATATAATATTATATAAATAAATTTTAATAAGATCTGCAGACAGAGAATTTGCATAATAGAAACCTCAAGTTGGTAAAGTAGTATAGCTTTCAACAGTTATATTAGCTAATACTTGATTTAGCAAAAAATACTGCTAAGAAAAATATAGATTAAGATAGATATAAGTAAGTTTGTTCTATAAAGAGAATTAGCAACACTAACTTGGCTTAGTAGCTAACTGAATTTAAGAGAATTTGTCTCATAAAACATTCTAAAAAAAAGAATACAAATACTAGTAAAGAGCTATAGTAGAAACTAAGATTATACAAATATCACAAAAGTCTTAGCTAAATGAATTTATAAAATATGTATAGACTACTCTAATAGGTATATATTTAAGATTAACTAGAACTCTATATACTTATAATATATTGAGCAATATATATTCTAAAAAAATCTAAATTATGTAGTAAATAGATCTATAAGCAAGTTAACTAGCTTAAGTAGTTAGATATAATAGTAATGTTACAAGTGTCAGCCTTCTTGATTCAACACAAGTAATATAAGACACAGAAGGGGGACTTCCAACAGTGTCAAAGTAGAATGTTACTTCACTGTAGCAGTTTATTAGAGAAGTTTATTTTTAAAGCCAAAAAATTATATTTATTAAAGAACTAGTAGAGAACTTAGTACTTTAAGTATTGTATTATTGACTACAAAACTATTTTACTATTTATTAAATAGGAGATTGTAGAGGACAAATCTAAGTTGGGGCAAAAAGAAAAGGAAGAGTTTATATAGCTTTTTACAATTAAGAATAAGAATAGTAGAAACAGTAAAAATAGTAAGAATGGTAAGAACAGTAAAAATAGTAAGAACGATAAGAACAGTAAGAATAGTAAAAACAGTAAGAATAGTAAAAACAGTAAGAACAGTAAGAACAGTAAGAATAGTAAGAATGGTAAGAACAGTAAGAATAGTAAGAACAGTAACTGTTTCTTAGTTGTTTCTAAGATAACTCAAAAACTAAGAGTTCTACAATTATGAATTATAACATGTTTAAAAGATCTCTTTAAGCTAGATCTAATAGTAAAATCTAATTCTAACTTTAGCTAATAAGTTATTAAGAAAAATGATGATAACTAAATCTAAATATATATAATAACATAAAAATACAATAATTAAAAAATATGTTAAAACCTATTTTATAACAGTAACATTAGTTAAGAATAAAGAAAAAAATTAATAATTAAAGTGTTTAAATAGGTAACCCACAGGCAGATTGCAGATATAGTAGCATAGTATAGAATCAACAGATAGTTGATTATCTGTATAGTAGACTACTTAAATTAGATAATGACTAAAGTTATATATATAGCTTATTGTAAACTCATCATATAACTATAAAATCTTAGAAGATTACTACTATAGTAACTCTGTAATAACAAATTAATAAAATCTAATTAGTAAAGGAAACTATCTTAATAATAAAAAAATATTTACTTATAATCTAATATATTAAAAAAACTATTAGAAAGTAATAAATTAATTTGTAAGCATACAACTAATAATAGATATATAAGGTCAGAACAACTTTTTATAAAATATTAATATTTTTTTTTTTTTTTTTTTTTTTTATGTTTAAGGTGGCTTATATTGCCAATAGGATTTTATTAGTATTTGTATACAGGATTATATATTGATAATCCCTACTGTTTGTAATTACATGAAGAGTATACAACAAGCTACATGTACAACTTAGTTATTATCTATTTTAAGTAGTCTGCTGCACAGGTGATTAGACTACCTGATTAGTTTTACACTATATTGCCATACCTGTAACCTGCTTGTGAGTTATCTATTTAAACACTCTGTTCATTAACCTATACAGATCCAAACCTAATATCATCACAACATCTAACTGCTTAAGCCAGCTAGCTCGTTACAGATCTATTTACCCAAATTAGCTTAGGTCCTCTCAGGATACACTATATCAGATGCATTGCTAGTATTGCAGAGATGGTTAACCTCAAAGCAAACCTACTAGAGTAGCCTATACCCATTTTATGGGATCACCTAGATTAGACCTTTATTGATATTCGTACAATCCCAGTTCCTACTGTAGCTCTCTACCAGTTTTCTGTATTCTATTTTCTTAGATATTTTACAAGGCAGATCCTCTTAATCCAGTTAGCTGCTAAGCCAAGTTGGTGTTACTGATCTTCCCTGTAAAACGAATTTATATATACCTGACTCGATCTGCATCTTTTGATCATAGTTTTCTTTCTGGATCAAGCATTAGCCAGTATGACTGTCGAAGGCTATACTATTTCACCAACTTGGGATTTCTACTATGCAGGTCCCCTGCT